ATCTCCCTGAAAATTTCTGTTTAAAGTTACTATTTTTCTTATAACTAATTAAAAGATTAATATTTTGTTGGTAAGAATAATCTACAATTAAATTATTGATCATTTTTGTTATATTGCCTAGTGTATATTCTTGAACCGTGATACATGATATCTTGGACATTAATAAATATTGAACATTTTTGAATAACTTTTCATAAATTTCTTTTGGAGCCTGACAATCTCTTACACAATAAGTTAAAATCAAATTACATTAATTTTTTTTGGTAATTTCATCATATTCGTTGTTACGACATTTGATTATTATATTATACAAGCGTTTAATAGAAAGATTTTCCTTTGAATTCAATCTAATTTTTTTTTAGAATATCATTTAAACTCCATGTTGTTAAATTTCTATAATGTTGTCATGCTTGTGTTTGTATATCATATGCAATTGTACTACTAACTTTTATAAAATAATGATTTGCAATTTTATTTGCACTTTACTTTTTCTACTATCTGATAATATTTGAAAACTGACTCGGTACTTTTTAGTTTTTTTTCTATATAATGTTTGATAAAATGTTTTGAATAATACACATTCATACATTTTTCAAATTATAATCTTCTAATCATATCCCAAAGTATTCCAACCACTTTCTCTATCAGGACTAAAATTTTTATACACTTGAAACATGGTTTTTAAGAAATCTGCTTCTGTTTTCACTTCAATCAGATCAATTAGATCCTCATTTGGATTTTCGTATTTTATTGAAAATTCATTATTTACTAACACAATCGCTATTATACGAAATGATTTAACTTCTGAACCCCAAAATAATATGTAAACCCCCATGAATACAACATTAGTTTTAAAACCTTTTGAAACTTTTCACATCTTATGATCGATAGTATATAACTAATTTTTCTTTACAGTTTCAAGATCCTAATATAATAAACAGTAATAATTCTTGTTAATCTCATCAATAAATATCATTGCAGAATAATGAAATTTATTTGTAGAACTTCACATATTTCTAGATAATTTCATGTATGTTATGAAAGTACCCAACAACAGAAACGCAACTTTTTTATTTGAATTTTTAAATTTGATACATGTTCGAACTGATATAAACATTAAATATGATGTTGAGATATTATCCTCATATAATTCAAAATCAATTTTTTTTTTTCTAATCAATTCTCTCAATCATAATATCTCTTGTTTTCTCAAATAATAATTTTTAAAATAAACTCTAACAAAAAATATAGTTTTTGTAGAAAATTAACATATGCTTCATTCAGAATCTCTGCATTCTTATAATTTCTACCCTTTTGCAACTCTTTTAAAATATTACTATACATTTAATAATTTGGCTTATTACATACATCCAATTCATTAAGCTTTATATCAAAATAAACTGGAAAACCCTTTATCAAAATATACATGTGTAAATTATTTGTACCAGCAACTTTTACTTTAACAAGATATTCATCTGTTTCGGGATCTTTAAAATCTTCTATATCATCAAGCATGTAATACTGTTATCATTTGAAATTGACCAGTAAAATCAAACCGATTTTTCATTGCTAAAATTTAAAATTTATTTATAATAAAATAAATGAAATAAACATAAATATTTATAATAAAACAAATTAATAAAAATATTAGTAATCTATATATATTTTTCAAAAATTTCTGTAATCTGACCATCTACCTTCACATGATCACCAACATTATCAAATGAAATAATCAGATAATTCCCGAAATTGACAGAATTAAAAACATTATTATTATATTCATAATAAATTTTTCTATAATCTTCTTTACTAAATAAATCATCACCCTTATTCTCTATAACCTCATCATAATCATGTTTCACATTAATAAAAAGATCAAATTCAATCTTTACAATAAAAGAATTAATATTTTTAATCAAATCTCTTTCTTTACTAGTTCTATTAAGAAATAAATTTGTATAAATTCTTACATTATACAATGTATAATCAAACAAAATATACTTGTATTCAGATAAATCTTGATTATACACCCCTTTAAAATATTTAACAATTCCATTTTGATTTTTATCAAGATTTCTTCCTTTCAAATCTTTAATTACATCTCTCAAATCTCTAGTAACAAAAATTTCTTCTTTATTAATTCTTTAACTAATTAAATAGTCAACAATTTTTCCAATG